CATTCACTCTCATTTCTATATTCATCTTATCTACATACTTAGAACTCAAATTCATGGTATCTTATTTTTATTATAAAAAAAAAAAAAAAACCATTTCTGGGTTCAACAAGAACGCTTTGATGGGTTCCTCATCAACCCAAAACTGGGTTCGCAAGGAACCCAAATTTGGGTTCGCGACAAACCCAGATCTTGGTCTTTTTTTTTCTCCCTTCTTCATCATTCTTCTTCTGTTGCTATCTTTCTCAACAAAGAAACAAACTCAAGTTAGGCACCAATAGATCTCAAGCAGTTGGGAGAAGAGAAACAGTGATGAAGAGTGAGGAACAATGGTTGGAAATAATGGTGGTGGTGAGGAGAACAAAGAGAGGAAAGGCAGAGGAGAATGATGGCAAGAAGAATAACTAAGGGTATTTTAGTAATTTTATATTTAAAGAATTGAAAAGAATAAAAAATGATAATTGAATTTGACTTGGCAATATGAAATTGTCCACCTAAGCTACTTATATTATTTATCATTGATGTGTTGTTACAAAAAATAAGGAAAATGCCATGTAAATTCAGTTAACGGACTTAATTGACGGAAGGACAAACGTTGTGCATTTCTTAAAGTTGAGGGATCAAAAAAGTGCAAAAAATTGTTGAGGGACCAAAAAAATGCAACTCTATAAAGTTGAGAGACCAAATTTAGCATTTAACCTAAAAATTTTGAATGAAAAGGGAGTTTATCCGGATAGAAAAGAGGAGGTGAGCAAAATGCTGTGAGAAAACAAAGGCTGTCCCTTTATTTTTATTTTTATTTTTATTTTTATTTTTATTTTTATTTTTATTTTTATTTTATTTTATTTTATTTTTTATTTTTTTAATCTTGATTGTATAATTTTCTTCTATCTCTTGTTTCAACTTAGGTACATGACATATCACTCAAACTTAAAAACTTCTATTTCTAGTAAAAAAAGAATCACACTAAATTATTTAATTCACTTAGGTTGTCCTTTAGGTAGGTAAAAAGCAGACTACTGACAGGCACATTGGATGAAACGATGTCATTTGATATGTTTCCTCACAATGTTTTGAAAATCGAACCGAACAAACCAATCGAACTGATACCTGGTGGTATAAACAGTTCAGATGTACCTTTTAAATCGTTTAAATTGTAAATCATTTGAAACTGGTAAGAACCATTAAAACCACTAAAATTGATAAACCGTTTGACCGGACGATTCAATGATTGGGCATAAAATCTTCATAAATTTGTCTCGATTAAAGTACCATTTTGGTCTCTTAACTTTCCACTTTGACACCAAAATTGTTCCTCAACTTTAAAAAGTACCAAAATTATCCTTAAACTTTCATTTTCGATACCAAAATGGTCCTTTCGTCAGTTAAGTGGACAGGTGGCACGTTAAAATGCCACAAAATCACAGCTTTTTTTGAATTTTAATGACGTGTAAGTCTAGCGAAGAAAATTTTGCTACTATGGCATGTTTTTTTTTGTTGTACCTATGATTTTGATGATTACAAAACACATTTAAGTGACTAATTGGTTTATTTAAGTGTGTAGTTAAGTTGCTAAAAGATTGCAAGTAAACTTGGATTGCACTAAAAATAAACCAAAAGGATTCAAAATGTGCAGAGAGCCGGCTCTTAAAAGCTACAGTCGGCTCTACAGGCAAAAATTTGAAGACCGTTGCTTTGCGCGCGCAGAGAAAGGACGCAAAGCCGACTCCAACTTTATAGCCAGCTGTAAGGGTGCATTTAATGCACAACGGTCGACTCTTTTGAATGTATTTAAAATTGGAATTCCAAAGTCGACTCAAAGTCTTGCAGCTGGCTCTCGAAGAAAACAGAATGTGCAGGAAACCCGTAAAGCCGGTTGCAGAAATTTTAAGCGGGTTCTACGGAAAAACAGAATGGTCTGCAAACCCGGATAGCCGGCTTTGGAAATGTAAGCCGGTTCTGCAAAGCTGGCTCTCCTGACAGTTCTGCAACTCGAGCCATGTGTCCTGCAGAGCATTTAATGACCCCCAACGGCTAGTAACAGCTATTTTCGAGCAAGGGGCTATATATATGGTTGGTAACAGATCTAAAGAGAGTCAGAGAGCATTGTATTGCATATCTTTACCTACCTACTTAAGCTTAAACTTGAGTCTTTGATCTTTGAGTGATCATTGCTTGTAATCCTCTTCTTGTGCTATTAGTGAGTGATCTTGGGGGTGTGTTAATTCCTTCAAGAGTGATCTGTAGAGAGGATCTTTGGGGTTAAAGTGTAAAGGGGTGAGATTTGAGAGAAACCCTTCTTCTTGTAAAGGATTGAGTGGCTCCTTTAAGCTACCATTGTTTTTGTTAGTGGAGAGTGTGGAGGAAGCCAATGTAGAGGACTAGGCTCTAAGTGGTTGGACAGAACCTCTATAAAATCATTGTGCAAGCTCTTCTTCTCAACTCTCTCTTTAATTTTTGTTTGGTGGTTGCAAAGAGGTGAAAATTCTCCAACTCCAATTCACCCCCCCTCTTGGAGTGCATTGAGTCAACATTTTTCACGCCAAATTGCTCTCCCTTTTCAGATTCACTTTTTGTGGGGCTCACATGAAAAATTGTTTTCCCTTTCCAGTTTCAGTTGAGTTCCCGAAGGCCAAACAAAAACAAACACGAACTTAATATTGACTTCCAAAATTTGGAAGATACAGATGAAATTAAATGAAAAATGAAAAACTCAAACTCATTCTAAGTTTTCACATAGTGCAAAATGAAACAACTTTTCTACGAAAAGAAAAAAAAAAAGGATCAGAAATATTTTCTCAACAACCAAACAAAGCAAGAAGCTAAAGAAACAGAGCAAAGAAAAACTAGCTTTACCATCCCAAACTTCAAAATTGGTCAAACAAATCACCAAGTATATGAATTTCGTGCTCAGAGCTATGGAAATGAAGTGAAATTGTGAAATTACTAGAAGAAATGGTAGGGTTTGTTTTGCGAGGAACCCATAAACTGGGTTCTTCAAGGAACCTTGCGTAACCTAGGTTCTGGGTTCATCAAGGGTTCCTTGCGAAACCCAAAACCTAGGTTCTTCGAGGAACCTAGGAACCCAAAAACTAGGTTCTTCAATAAACCTTGCATAACCTAGGTTCTGGATTCGTCGAGGAACCCAGATCTGGGTTTCTCGAAGAACCCAGAACCTAGGTTCTTCAGGGAACCTAGGAACCCAAAACCAAGTTCCTCAAGGAATTGGGTTCCTCAAGAAACCTAGCACCGAGTTGGGTTCCTCGTGGAACCCAGATCTGGGTTCCGCGAAGAACCAAGATGAACAAGAGGAAAACCTAGCATCAGGTTCCATGACAAACCAAAGATGATGAAGAGAAGAGGATGGTGAAGATGATGAGAAGGATGGCGAAGAGAATGGTGAAGAAGATAAACGGTGAGATGATGATGCTGAGGATGAGGCTGAGGATGAGGAGAAAGAAGAAGATGACAAAATGAAAGTTAATTAACTTAATTATTTTTAAATTCATTTAATTTATAAATTCATTTTTATTTAAATAAAAAAAATAACACATGGAAAAAAAATGCCATCTCATCACTTTTAGCATGATATGTTTTCCACGTAATTATTATTTTTTTAAGAATATGGTTTTGTGGCATTTTAACGTGCCACTTGTCATTTAACTTACGGAAGGATCATTTTGGTACCGAAAATGAAAGTTTAAGGATAATTTTGGTACCTTTTAAAGTTAAGGGACAATTTTGGTACCAAAGTGAAAAGTTGAGGAACCAAAATGGTACTTTAACCGTTTGTCTCCCGCAGGGCTTGAACTTGCGACCTCAAAGCCGTTAATTTCGACTCTTTACCACTAGGACGATGCAAGCCTTGTGTCAATGAGTGCTTAGAATTTCATTTATCTAATAGAAATCTCAAAGATTTTAACCAAATTATTGATGATAGCCAGATGACTGCCATGAGATTCGAACACTCATTCTCCATGACATGAAACAAAACCTCTACCACTTGAGATACAACCTTCTATTTGTTTTCTTTTTGCTTTACAATATATTTATTCTATATTTAAAACCATAATTATATTAAAGTTTGTTCTTAAAAGGACTCGAACTTGTGATCTTTCAAATATCAAATCAACCATCTACCATTACACCCAACTAACACCTTGTGAAATATTTTGCAGAATAAATATATTTATAATAGTTTGATCAACTCAGCGGTTTTACTAGTTAAACCGTTCAAACCGTGAACCGGAGGTCAAACCGGTTTGGGTTTTAAAACATTGTTTCCTCATCAAATAGCCGGGCCATGGCAGCTAAACTTACCAAACCAGTGAGTGAAGTCAAATGAAGTCAGCTCTGTCCTCAGTCCCGAGTTCAAAGAATCTCAATCAATCTCCTCTCGCTCACACATTGCGCATGCTCGACAGGCCATTGAGGAGGCTGCAGTAAAGGGCGCCCAGCTTGTTCTGTTGCTGGTAAGCCTAATTTCATAGTATTTGGTTTCTGCTGTTTGACTTTTTTCTGGTTCCTAGTACTGCTAAATTAAGTAAAGTCAACGCCGGTAAAACTAATCTGAGATGAACTCGTGTATTGAGGAGGCTAACATGAAATTGAAATCTTGAAATTTGGTGTTTTTATAAAATTACAAAGATATATAGATTAAATTTGTTGGACATTGTAAATGTTGGTTGATAAGTTTGTTGTATCAAACTAAGGCCCCTTCCTTGTTGTAATTGTATCAGGAGATATGGAATAGCCCCTATTCAAATGACAGCTTCCCAGTTTATGCTGAAGACATTGATGCTGGTGGTGATACATCTCCATCAACAGCTATGCTGTCTGAAGGTTCTCGTTGTTTGAAGATTACCATAGTTGGTGGCTCCATGCCTGAACGTTGGGGGCATAACTTGTATAATACTTGTGTCTTTGGTACTGATGGAAAGCTGAAAGCAAAGCACCAAAGGTAGGCTCACCATCTATTCCATATATTTTCATGCAGAAAATGAAAATCTTGCTGAGTAGTGTATTCTTGAGACTTGGACACCCTATTCATTAGTTATAACGATTAGACTATCATATGAGACTTATGATCAGCTACCTACATCCTCACATCCACATATTAGCAGATGATATCAACAATCGGGCACATGCCCGGCATATTTTTAATTGTTTATACGATCATATACTAATGCTAGTGCTAGGCTGTTAAAATTTTGATGCCTGACGTCTGCAAAAAATGATCAATATTCACTGTCTTTTATCTTTTGTCACAAGCCTGTTAATGTATGAACTCTTCAAGGATCGAAGTTTGGGGAACACAATCCGTGTTATTGAATGCCACACTAACAAGTTCCCCTAGAAGATTTCTTGCGTTATGTCTTTTGAACACATCTCATTGCATCCAGTTTGCACGATGTATCTGACAGAACAATTCATGTGGAACTACAGATTCACCATTTTGATATTGATATTCCTGGGAAGATAACCTTCATGGAATCAAAGACACTCACTGGAGGGGAGTCCCCTACCATTGTGGACACAGGTTTGATGCTTCCTTAAAACTTTTTCGTGGCGATGTTCCCTTGGATATGCTATTAAAATATTATCCTATGCTGTCCATAATTAGAAAAGCAATGTTTTCTTACTAGTAAATGGTTGACCATTTTAACAAAAATGATTTGCAATTGAATGTTCAACCTACTTTGCTTCTCAAATTCGTCCTTTATCCACACACTTAATTCTGATTCAGTATTTTAAATCACTTCCTGATAATTCTTTGAATTTCCTCGAGAATTTGCTTTTTGTTGGAAACTAACCATCAAGCTTCTTGTAGATGTTGGGCGTATTGGTATAGGTATCTGTTATGACATTAGATTTCAGGAACTTGCAATGATATATGCAGCAAGAGGTTTGTTTCCATCCCTTGAACGGCGAAATGATAATATAATACTGTTTTTAGGTCTAAGATATCATATAGGTGCACCTTCTGATATTGATAGAATACCGCTTGATGCTTCTCTTGTTTATGAATCTGCTGCACCATATGAGACTCGTGATTTTGCATTTAGGTTCTCATTTGCTTTGTTATCCTGGAGCATTTAACATGACAACTGGACCGTTGCATTGGGAATTATTGCAGAGTGCAAGGTATTAATATATTTCAGTTAATGAACAGGTGTTTAAATTCTTGCCAAGTATCCAAAACCAGTAATAGTTGTATGAAAAAATTCGTTGTATGCACTACATGTCTTGTTATATATTTTAATTAAAAAAAAAAATAGCCAACCGTTTATGCCCAGTCCGTTACAAATCCAATGCTTCAAAACTTAAATTTGTCAAATAACTCATCAGTTACATACTATATTTTTGAATCAGCCAATTTACATTTACTTAGCTATTTCAAAGGAGATCCATGCGCTTTATTCTAATCAAACGGCAACAGCCATTTATTTAAAGAATTTTTTCAGCTTCGTCGGTTTCTTGAATCCATGCGTTTTTGTTTT